GACATCTCAAACATCATCAAACATGTATGTCCCTTGTGTTCTTAACAACATGCACATGTCTTAGATTAGGCTACAAACAAATTTAGACCTCTAACTAAGAGAGGCATTATATATCTTTTCCTCCATCTGTTTTGCTGTCTCTTTTATTTTTGATGATTGATGACAGAGGGAACTGTGATGCTTGTGCAAGAAGGAAAAACACCAAATCATGCATTTATTTAATGGTGATGACTACATTAAGCATGTCAGAAAACCATTTTGTGCTTTATCTATGTTCACCTTGTTTGCTTGTGACTCAATTAAGCTTCTTTTAGTCTGTGGCCATGACACCATTATTTTGTTTGCTCCCTGGGACACTTTTTGTTTAGTAATTCCAACTTTCAAAATAGGATAAAACTCGTGCATAATGGACCTTCTTTTTAATTATTCTGGAAGCAATAACCATAGATTTTTGTTGCTTTAATAATGTAAAGTATGAACATCACTGGCCAGTGTCCACCCAGAAGAGTTTGAAGTCAAACTTTGAATACTCTACTGCTACAACTATCTATCTTGTTATCATGTCAGTGACCCCGAAGTTATGGTCACTGCTACGTGACTGCTAGTTTTCAGTTTCAGCAAGCATATATCTGTTATTTGTGATGGAAGCTTTTAAACACAAGAAATTGTTGTTTGGTTTGAGATAATAGTGTGGTAGTTTGCTACATTTTAACAGAGAACTAATGCAAAGTATGACATTTGTGGAACAACCTGGTTAAACACAAGTGAAAATTTTAATCAGTGTACACTATGTTGATTATAATCTTTGTACGAAAATTTAAATCTAACTCAATCTTATAAAATCAGTTTTTAAAGTGAAATTTGCATCCATCTATATATTATAAATTGATTTTATTTCTAGTCAATATGAAACTTCCAACACATCCCCTCACACCGAGGTATATACGTTTCGAGCATGAGATTAGACATTAATAGGTAATCCGATAATGTATAGAACCATATGTCTATACAAATCTTGCTAGGATAAATTTTACCCTTGATAACATCTTAAAGAGTGAATTTTAAGCTTAACTCAACTCTATGTCTCACCTTAGATCTACTTTGCAAAATAATGGGTGCAAACCACACAATATGGTATGAAGTATTATCTACTTTGAAATTATTACTCAGTCACATGTTTGACACATAGTAAAATAGAAAAACTATTGAAAGTATTTTAGATCTCGATTTCTAAATAATATAAGACTATTTAACGTGATACTTGCATAAATATAATTAAAAAACAATTATGAGTAGTATAAATAAAAGTTAATTGTTAAAGTTACTATATATTTATCGCAGTCTGAATTCGAACACAATAATTTCAACGTCTTATGCAGATACAATCCGAACGATTTGAAAAATCAAGAAAACCTAAAGACTATGAGAACCAGGTGACACCAGGCCTTGTAGGAACAATCACCAATGATAATTGGCTTACATTTGGATCTTCGCAAATGTGCTAATATCAAGACAAACCGAAAGAGACATTAATGCACTTCCGTGTTCTTACTTTCCTTCTGTGCACGAAAGTTACTGGAGATTGGATATAGGTCTTAACAGCATACACTATATTATATATACAACACCAAAAAGACACACAGAAAATTAGAGCTGCTTAATTCTATTTCAATATCTTCTTTTGGTTGAATCTGATGAAGATGGTTCTTGTATCCAAAATTATTGCTTGCTACCTTGAGAATACCAAAGCTCAGCATTTTTCACCTTAGACACACTCTGCAACACTTCAGAGGGAAGAATATCGCCCATAACCACTACTATTTTTGTTTCCAGATCCACCTTATACGAGCTCACTCCTGTTTTAAAGATGAATGTGGATTCAGATATCATGATTGTAAAAAGAGGCAAAGCAAGCAAAAACACAAACACACCACACACATATACTGAAAATAAACGTTAATAATGTTGACTTTATGGCAGATGTTGTCAAAAGGAGTGGTTAGCATATTCTCTATCCTAGAATCCTGTGGTGGACATTTGAGCAACCCACTGTGTTTGTTCATCAATATCTGACAGAATTTGCTTTAGCTTGTGATGAAATTTAGGAAATAAAGATAAACTGATAAAGCAAAAGCTGGCATCACCAGTTCCAGTATAATGTCACATACTTATACTACATTGATGGTTAATCTTTCTTTTTCTTCATTTTGTTTGTGACAGTTAAATTACTCTAGAAAGCTGCTTTATGATGTGGGGATTAAAAAGGTACCATACTCACCTTCCAACTTCGAGATATGTTTCTCAACTTTTTTTGCACATCCATAGCAATGCATGGACACCCTCAATGTAACTATCTGCATATTTTGTGAATAAGAACATACATAGAAGAAGGACTTATGATGTTACGATAGGAATTTGACTAAAAAGAAAGAGCTGGAACAACATCATCAACAACAAATTCTAATCAAATAAGGTGAGATTATTATACACATTTATCAGTTAAGTTAAAGATTAAAGTTTCAGAATAAGAGTTGGAACAAAGAAAAAAGGCTTTACCTGGGGTTTCAGCTGAAAAGCCAATGTCTGCTTTCCATCTACTACATCCTTCAATCTCAGTTTATGATCAGTAGCACTTACAATCAAAGGCTTTTGCTCAAACTCATCTTCAAACTCCATGGAGTTCATGCAGAAACAGGTGTTTGAGCCAAAAGAAGGACAGAAGGTATCCAACATTCTCCCTAGTTTTCCCATTTCAAGGATCTGTTCTAAGTCTAAGGCTAGTCTGAGTTTAAAGAAAACTAACAACTAAACCAACCTCTCACACAAGTCTCGAGTTTCATCTCAACCAAAGCATGGTTATAGGAATATCTTATATTAGGGAGGAGAGAGAGTACAAGGGAGTGGAGGTAGCAAATAAGATTAAAGTCAAATTTTATTGGGGAAGCCAAAAGCAGCACATAACCCAATAAATTTTAAGAGGGATAACAATAGAAAATAGATTCAATTTGGTTACATACTGTCATGTGATGAGCTTCCAGAAGCACTGCACCAAATTAAAACATGTTTCTGTGAATAAAAAATGACCGATAAGAAGCTGGTATTAACTCAATTTCACAAAACTAATTCGTCGACATAATATATATTTTGAATTGGTCTTAGTCGACGTAAAAAAACAATTACAAGTGTGTGGTTTTTTATTTAACTGATTTTCAAAAGTGTTGTATTTCATCTATTAATATTTCTTAGGTAAACCTGCTAGAAACTTAGACTTTAAAAAGTATTATAGAAAGAGAAGCATAGCTTGTGAGTTGTCTCTGTGACTATTTTGGTCATGGAAGAAACAAGTCGTATTAAAAGAGGTGAAAATTGGATCACATGTTGAAGGAGGACAGAAGTAAAGGAGGAAAACAGATCACAAAATCAGAAATAGAAATGCACAGACTTTATTGTGAATGTGATAGGAAGCCCAGTTGGAGGAAAAAATATGTATATAGATCATGTGGGTGATTTATCATGAGTCATATAATAGGATTGTTGATGCACTAAAAATAATGACAAGACAGACTTCTTTATACCATGCTCAAATCATTAAAAATTTACTTTTCTTATTTGAGTTTATACGCCTCAATTAACAATCTCGAATTTAACGATTAAAGTCTTGAATATTGTTAGGAATTGAAACTTTGTTCACTTTAAGTAAAAATAAAATGTTACACATAAAAAAAACTTATAATTTTTTTTAAGGTTTTTGATAAAAAAAAAAGTGATTAAACTTATGTCCATTAATATTGTATTTTCTAATTTTTTTCTCATCATCCTCTCACTCTTGGAGTTTGATTTGTTTTCATGGTCGTGTATAATTTAGTCTTGTATAGAAAATATTCTGGTAGTAAAAGAATATCAAAAGAAAAAATTTCATAAATTCAAATTGAAATCAAATGATCGAAAGATTGAGATTGAATAACTGAGTTATCAAGACTAAAAAGTTAAAAGGTTGAAATCGAGAACAACTAGATTAGATCGATTTTGTTAAGATTAAGAAATTCGACATATGATAAGTTAATATTAATCGGAAAAATAGATCAAACACCCAAAATGTTCAGATGGATGACTGACTAAAAAGTCGAAAGATTAAAACCGAAAGAGATGAGAGTATGAAAAGACTAATATTTTGGTGAACAACGATTAGATCGAGTGTTAGATTAAGAACTCGAATATTTGAAGTTAAATTAATCGAAAAAATGAGTCAAACACCCAAAATGTTCAGATGGATGACTGACTAAAAAGTCGAAAGATTAAAATCGAAAGAGATGAAAGTATGAAAAGACTAATATTTTGGTGAACCACCAGATTAGATTGAGTTGTTAAGATTAAGAACTCGATATATTGAAGTTAATATTAATAAAAAATAAGATCAAACATCCAAAATGTTGAAATGGATGACTAACTAAAAAGTTGAAAGCTTAAAACCGAAAGACATAAAAGTATGATTGCATGATGATATAAAAACATAATGATGTTACTAAATTATTTTTCATGATATAAATTGTAGATGTACATAAATTTTGAAGTGATTTTAGATTCTAAAAAGAAAAGGGAAAATAATAAATAAGTAATTGAGAGCTATTAAAGCCATAATGAGAAGGCTGTGGACATGTGTGTTGTCCTGAGCTTGAAATATATGATGGGACAGCAGGTCACGTATGGCATTGCATTATTGAACTCCATGAGATAAGAACGTTTAGGAATTATTTGAATCATTGATAAAACTGTGATAGTAAAGCTCTTTTCTACAGCTTGGTCCATGTGACAGTGGAAGCTTTCAATGGAAGCAGAAGGAGAATTTTGAAAAATAGATGCTAAGGGTTAAGTGATGTGTTCAGGTATAATGTTAATTCAACGGTCACCTTTTGTTTCTGCATGGATGAAAAATGCACAGTGAGTAGTCACTCAATATATTGTTTTAATTTCATTACTCATATTGTAGATAAAACTTAATATATAGTATATATATATATATATATATATTATATATAATATATCTATTATAATTATATATTATTGTGATTAAGACATGCTTCAGTTCATATAATTTTTTTCACTTTAATATGAGTTTTCGGTTTAAATTGATCAATATACAAGAATCTTAATATTAAAGATTTTTTTTGTTATTTCTAATAACTTAATGATCATTACATTTTTTTTTTATCTCTTGTAAAATCCTGCAAATATAGAAGAAAAGGAAATTAAAAAAAAAGCATGATGAAGACAATTAACAACTACATTGTGAGAGGCCACTTGTGTCTGCTTTAGCTTGGAAAGACAAAACATGTTGGTCTGTATTGACAGCATTTTGCATGAATTCATGAAACATCTTTAATCTTATCATTACATAATTCTTTTTATTAACACTTTAAATGAATTATAACTTAATATTTTTTACGAAGTCAATGATGCAATATAATATTTATTAATCATTTATGTTTAATTTTAGGTTTAATTTACTTTTTTATTTTAATTTTGGCTAAATATGTCGAGCTCGTTCTCTATTTTTTTAGTCCTTCCAATTTGGTTTTTTATTTGTGAAAATTAGTTTTTCTTTTTATAAACTATTCAAATTGTGATTTTTTAAATTGTTTTAATTTTTTTTTAATTTTTCTATAGGTTATTTTAAAGTTGTATCATGTGTATTATTAATAGAAAATTAGAATTAAATTGAATGAAAAAAAATCAAATATATAAATTAAATTGAGACTTTTTCACGCAACTCTACCACTTCACATTATATATCACATGACACAATGATCTAAAATAATTAAAAAAATTATAAAAAATTACAAATTATACATGTGCTACATAGACCAATAAAAAGTAACTAATTAGATAATTTTTAACTAATCAATCAACGAATTAAGACTAAAAGAACTAAAAAATCAACTCAATATTTTTAGAAAAGACAAAAAAATAAGTTAAACTTAATTTTATAGAGAATGTATATTTTGCAGAATGGAGTGCTTGACGCTGACATCGTAGTAAGACATTTTTGTCTAATTGAAATATCTATCAAAGCTTTTATTTAATCATAGTAAAAGTTAGATAAAAAATCCTTTTTAAGTTATGATAATTTAACTTTAAACTTAATAAATTACATTATTCGTTACTGTTTTTTAAGTTAAAATATATTTTTTTATCACATAAGATTTTAAGAATGATCCACATTAAGTCCAATTTCTTAACTTGTTTTTTATTTACACATAACTCATATTTTAATTTAAAAATTTCTTTTAATAATTATGTAACCTTAATAATTAAAAATATATTTTTAAATTAAAATAATAGTTACTTATATAAATAACTTCATATACAAAGTTTATAACATTAGTTCTTATGTAATGATTTCAATTTCTCACATTAAAAATCAATTTAAGCCTAATAAGAAGAGTGTTTGACGAGACTGATAAACAGTGCAGTTTATTAGAGAACTTTTTTTGCCACAGGTTTGTTTAGAAAAATAAGATCATGAAATTTTTATACACGTATTCAGAGTAATAATTATCTCTATGAATTCAAATAAGTGTTCAAATTAATAATGTACCATGTTTCTGGACTTCGAGAAACTCAAAATCATGTATTTGTACAAAATTCTCGAAAAAAAAAAAAACATCAAAGCTTTCAAAGTATATTTTTAGTTTTAAAAAATTAACCAAATATACTCATATTAATAATAAACTTGACGTACGAAACTCATTTCAAACAAAAACGTAACATATACGTAACCCCCTAATACGTGTTAACGAAGAAAAAAATCATCATTTTATAATTATGCCTAATGTCCTCGTGTTAATAATACAATGTATGTTACTTTTTATCATCTTGTTTTCCTGTTTGAAGGTTGAGTCGTATTAGTTTGGATCGAAGGTTGAATCATGTTGGTTAGGATCAAAGGTCGATTCAAATCAAATTTAGGTCTAATAACAAATGTTAAAGGATAATCGACCTAAACTGAATATCAAGGCCCATTGAACTAGGTTAAAAGTTGACTAGATTAAGCATATGGTTATAAGTCAACTTAATTTAACCTTCAATTCGGATCAACTCATCTTTACTTTTAGTCCAGACTTACTTATCTCAACCTTCAGCGGAAGTTGACTCAATTTGGCCTTTGGCTTGAATATATTCGATTTGATCTTTGACATAAATCGACTTAGTTCAACCTTCTGTCCGAACTAAATGTCTTATATTTAAAAATTAATTAAAGTCTTTTAGTCTGACTAAATTCATTTTAACTCTAACCCTAACCATTTTAAAATAATACCTTATAAATTGGGGCTCTTTAAGAACTTTCATTTAGTGGATTATTTATTTTCTTTTACTATCTCTTTTCAATTTTCATTTGAAATTTCTAATACAATCATATTCAATAAATTTAATTATTGGAAATTAAAAATGACTTTATTGTCATCTTAACGAGTAAATTTATAATTAACATAAAAAACTTATATGCTTACGTTCAATATATATATCACGATTAAGTCATACTCAATATAAGATTGAATGTCTTGTATTCATTTTGTAACATTGATTCATTGGTTATTTCTAACTTAAGCATATTTCCTTTCTTTTAATTTTTGTTAAATAAAAAAGTTTTATGATTTCTTTTTTGGTTTTCCTTTTGAATACAATTTCTTTCTTGTCATTATTGTAAGGTGTCCAAACTAGTGTACCACATGCTAGAAGAGTACACTCTTCAAAACTCCATCATCATCATCATTTCTTTTGAGTTCCATTAGTTTAATCATGAAATAAAAGTCTTTTGAGCTAGGACAAACCCATGAATTTATTTTTAAACATGAAAAAAAGTATTAAATTTTTTAATTATCTTAGGGTCTTTAGCTCAAACTAGCTAACATTGACCTTCTATCCAGAGTAGAAAATCTCAATCTTTGACCCGGGCTAGCCTTTCTCAACTTTCGCCCAAGGTGGCTCATCTCGACCATTGGACCGAGGTAGGCCATCTTGATCTTCAGTCAAACACAAGACATCTCGAGCTTCAACTTGGAACAGGCCATCTCGACCTTCAACTTAAGACAGGCCATCTAGATCAACGATTTAGGCCAATCCGTCTCAACCTTCAGTCAAAATTGTCTCATCTTGATCTTCATCTCATGCCAACTCGTATTGAACTTCGATCTAGTCAGCCCATCTCAACCTTCGATCTAGACTGGTCTGTCTCGACCTTCGATCCGCGTTGGGTCATCTTCACATTTGACCTGAGTTAACCCATCTTAACCTTTGGCATAGGTTGACCCGTCTTGACCTTCGACCTGTCTCGACCTTTGATTCGGTTCAGTTTCCACGACCTTTGACTTAGATTTAGCTTCCTTGACCTACCGTCTTGACTTTGATTTGGTTGCCTATCTAAATTTCAGTCAATTCTGACCCGTCTTGATGTTTGCCTTGGGTCAACACATCTAGTCTTTCAGCCCGACCTGACTAGGGATGACAAAGATACTCATGCTTATAGGTATTCGCAGATAAAGTTCACTACAAATAGTAAATGGATACTTTAAATGAGTATTCGCGAGTAATGAATAATGAATAATTTAGTACCTGCATATACGTAGATCAAGTGTAAATATCATACTACCCATACCCGTAGGTATCCATTACCCATAGAAAATTAAAATTAAAATTTNCTTTAGCTCAAACTAGCTAACATTGACCTTCTATCCAGAGTAGAAAATCTCAATCTTTGACCCGAGCTAGCCTTTCTCAACTTTCGCCCAAGGTGGCTCATCTCGACCATTGGACCGAGGTAGGCCATCTTGATCTTCAGTCAAACACAAGACATCTCGAGCTTCAACTTGGAACAGGCCATCTCGACCTTCAACTTAAGACAGGCCATCTAGATCAACGATTTAGGCCAATCCGTCTCAACCTTCAGTCAAAATTGTCTCATCTTGATCTTCATCTCATGCCAACTCGTATTGAACTTCGATCTAGTCAGCCCATCTCAACCTTCGATCTAGACTGGTCTGTCTCGACCTTCGATCCGCGTTGGGTCATCTTCACATTTGACCTGAGTTAACCCATCTTAACCTTTGGCATAGGTTGACCCGTCTTGACCTTCGACCTGTCTCGACCTTTGATTCGGTTCAGTTTCCACGACCTTTGACTTAGATTTAGCTTCCTTGACCTACCGTCTTGACTTTGATTTGGTTGCCTATCTAAATTTCAGCCAATTCTGACCCGTCTTGATGTTTGCCTTGGGTCAACACATCTAGTCTTTCAGCCCGACCTGACTAGGGATGACAAAGATACTCATGCTTATAGGTATTCGCAGATAAAGTTCACTACAAATAGTAAATGGATACTTTAAATGAGTATTCGCGAGTAATGAATAATGAATAATTTAGTACCTGCATATACGTAGATCAAGTGTAAATATCATACTACCCATACCCGTAGGTATCCATTACCCATAGAAAATTAAAATTAAAATTTAATTTATATTTTTTATGTTAAATTTAATTAAACTTAAATAGCAGGTATGCACTATTCGTGTTCTATCCAATCCGTTGTCATTCCTAAACCTGACCTAATCTCAGTCTTTGACCTGACTCAAACTGTGTCAACTTTCAACATGGCACGACCTGTCACGAACTTTGGCCAATCATGACCTGTCTTAATCTTTGACCCGACTTGATTTAGGTTAACCTGTCTCAAACTGGTCTGTCTCTAGCTTGTTTCGACCCCACTTTGGACCAAGTTGTCTTGGTTTTCTACTCGAGACGACTCAGTTCAACATTTGACCTCAGTTAAAGTTGTTATTTTAAAGAGTTAATTAAGCCCACTTTGACCCTTACTCTAACCTAACCTCTTTGAGAGGAGCTTTGGGAGCTAGGACTATTTTTGGATCCCATGATACGAGGCTTCTTAAAAGGGAGATTTATTCAATGTTGGATCAAGACCGGCCCATAGGCCATGGGTCAATTGACAGCTCTATTAAAAACCACAACACAAAGCATATTATATCTATATCTATCTATATATCTATACTTATATATAATATAAAAAAACGATGAACAGTATTTCATTGATAGTATTGGACATTATTTGTTACAGACAAATGGTGATACTGTGTATCGAACATACAATGATTCACTCACGTAAAAAATGTAATAGTTGAAACTGGGAAACTGAAAAATGATGAATGCAATTTCTGATTAGCATACTCTAATTGTTGAGTTATTTAGATTCCCTCAGTGGCAAATGAACACAACAGGTACTGTGTAGCCTCAAGTAACAAATCCAAAAGCTTATGTGCCTTTGTGCCACCACCATTACTTCTGACTTCAAATTTCTAGGATGCTGCATGCAGTTGGAAATTCTTTTTCCTACCAGACACGGGCACTTGGAGGAATCAACTACATGTGCAGCAGATATATAGGGCAATTTTATATCTTAATCCTCACAATTTCAAACCACAATGGGGGATAGCAGCGAAGTCCTTATGTAGAATCACCATGTCTGTTCTTCCACACGATTGGAGCCACCAGCATCCATACTGTCAAAAAAGGCAAAAACATATTGGCTCAAGAAATTACACTATTAAGAGTCTCTCTCAGTTTAAAATTGTTCAAACTTGAACTCAGTTTTGAAACTTTTTCATACATTCTTTGTTATGGACTGAAATTCATAAACTGTGAGTTCCATTTCAATTTAACAGGTTCCATTCTCTATTCATATTCATTTCACCCCATGAGAAAAAATGTTGGAAATTTATTTGTAGAATTCCTCCTTTCTGATTATGGTTAGACAAAATTGAGATGGGATCATACTTACGATAAACACAAACTGCCAACCATTCATTTACTATTCTGACCCAGGCGCTGGTCCAGCCTATATCAATAGTCCATCTGCAGTAGAATATAGGTATTAAAGTTTATAACTTCTTTTAAAGTTTTCTCTAAGAGGAATCAACTTCACATAAACTTTCTACTAGCACCAATAAGCTAGCAACCAGGTAAAAAAAGGTTATGTTGTGAGTGACAAAATTTTCATACTTTTTCATAGAATGGTGACTGTTCCACCCAATCAATAGCATTGCAAAGTACATTGCTCCTGTGGCAAAAACAAAATGGAAGAAGCCATAACCGTATGGAACATCATCTTCTGCTGGAGGATCACTCTTCCTGAACTGTAAGAATATCAGTTAGATGTGCTTTGGAGAGAATTTGCTGTTAAAATAAAGTTCAATTTAGATCCTGTAACTAACTTGAAAGCATTTGGAATCTATGCCTGTGGAAAATGTTGCAACAACAAGCGCTAGTATTGCAACCACAAAGCTCTGCCAACAGTCAGTGTCAAATGTCAGACAATAAGAAGGTAAAGTGATATCATGTTTAAAAAATTAAATACTAGCAATTGTAACAATAAATATAAATCGTTTTTTTCATAAAAATGTGTTGATGTTACTCATTTATGTGAGATTATTTCAAATGAAATAGTAAATATTACAATTATGCTTTGCCAATCTGTTTTGGATTTAGACTCTGACTTTCTGATGCAATCAGCTCCTGCAGGTTCACTGCACACACAAATATGTTCTAAAGCTCAGATTCAACAGAAATGAATACAACAGAAAGTTAGAGGGATCACAAAGGCAATGGATGGAGAGAAATTAGGAGAACAAAAAGTAAGACATGGTTTGATTTTACATCTATGTTTCCTTTGGTTGACAAAAATCTAGACATTTGAAGCTTCACATGCATTACACAGCTGTATCAAATTATCTGTACAAATCCGAAAGTACAGAAAAAGATTGTAGTCCCTACCTTCTGATTGCACACCAGCAAAGAAAAACCACATAAAGCCCCATCAACCCTGGACTTAGAATGCCAGCATTCACCTAGTGAGAAACATAAATTTCACATAAAGTTATGATGGGAGATAAAGAAAGATGAGCAAGCAAAAGACCTGCAAACAGTGCTTACTTTGGGGTGAAGAGATACACTTGTCATGAGTTGAAGAAGCACTAGGGTCCAAGTGATAAAGAAAATATTGAGGAGGCAAGATGGTAGTGGTGCATACCAAAGGTACATCAAAATGATCCCCACCAAGCAGATAAAATACGAAACAGTTGCAAATAACATCACCTGGATTTGGCTGCAAGGAAATTAAAGATAAGTGTAAACGTTTTAGGAAGTATTTTGAGCACTGCACAAGAATTTTGCAAACTGAATTATGAAAGAAGAATAGCATATGGGTAATGTAATTACAATTTTCATACCATCTTTCTGCATATTTTTCAGAGCCAAAACAATCAGTCAACCACGTAATGAAGCTGATTATGCTTATTAGTTGAATTAGGAGGAAAACCCTGAAAAATATAGAGAAAATTAAAACTTTCATAGATCAGTTCAAGACAAAAATATACTGCAATCATTTAGTTGAGGTAAAAAATAGACATACCCGGCACCAAAATGTGCAATCTCACCTGCCCCAAAAGAAATAACAGAATGAATATAAGCAGCATTTTTTTATATCAAATAGGAAGCATTAACACTTGAAGGCTTTTTCAGAGACACAATTTACCAACCATAGAGCTCAATCAACTCAGAAGGGAGTAAAAATGGGAATATTGTCACAAGGATCAACAGAACAGTCTTGACTAACCACCATCCTGAGTGCCATTCATCTCTGCCTTCCTTCAATTTAGAAGTACCAGCAGTTGACCAGAACATTATCATATAAAACAACTGATCAAGAATTAAGGTTCAAAAACTGAGCATAAATTTTGATTAATGATTGGCCAGACCAGATTTCTTGCATATAAGCATTGAAACTTGAAAAGGATACAAAGCAACCCATGCTCACACGTAGAACACCATCTGCACCCAAACAGTCTTTTCCAACCTTGCATCCCTTTACACCTGAAGGTTCAATATATGTTAGAATTCAAGCTGCTGGTGCCATAACAACATAATGCTAATAATTCATTTAATGTGGTGTTGTTGTTAAGCACAGTGACATTTATTGAAAGTCTCTAACTAAAAACTAATTCAAATTTCAAAGTTTTCGTTCACTTTTCCTTTTTTAACGAGTCCATGCAAACTGTTCTAGTCTAAGAGTCCATGTAATTGCTGTCACATACATTCACAGAATTTGCCTAGAGTTTCTTGTAATGTCAAGATTTGTGATGAGAAAAATGACACCTTGAAAACAGCTTAAAACCCTCCACGTGTTAGAAAAGAAAACAATCTTTCTACCATACACATGGCATGGACATGGCCAAAATTTGAAAGTAGCAACCAAAAATTAAATGTGATGGTGATGGAATGTGAAAGCTCATGAAGGATTGAAGCAATCTCACCCTTCAGTTGAGTTAAAGCAGTAAGGCTAGAAAGTTCATCACGTGCAGCCCATGCCAACAGATTGGCCACTAGGAAGATCAAAGCATACACATATCTTGCCAACCAAGGGTTTGAAACATTTCTGAATTGACTATACCATGAAGAAACCTTCGACACTTCACACCTTTGGTTACTGCTGTTGCTTTCCCCTGTCTCCATCTTCTATCTAATTTTCAACAAATCAATGCAACACAGTGTGCATGAATGGATCACAGAGACAAAATTTGATCCACACACTCCAATCAATATCTTCTAATCTTCTCCCCTGCACTGCAATGCATCAAAAGACTAAATGAAAATTCATCACATTCATCTAGGCCTCGAATGAAACAGAACAAACAGTTAAATAAGAACCAACGATTATCCTTCATTAACCCTGAGAATAATAGTCGTTATAGTTGGTCCTAC